AAATATTCCAACGCCCCTCTCTACCTGTACTCTCCATATAGTTGATGAGAGGAAAGGCTGGAAGGCTGGAATTAAAGAAAACAGTGGGGTCCTTCCAGGTCTGTGGATCTTGAAGCAGACAGGTACTTTAGAGGCAGCCAACTGTCAAAGAGTTAGCAGTCATTTATTCACTAAAGATTCTAAACAGATGTGGCTACAAACAAGGTCCTGTGTTGGGGGAGTTGCTCTGCAGAGCCTAGGCAGAACTATTATCATGACAGAAGTCAGCACTAGCCATTTCAGAGCAAATGGAACACCTATGCGCTACTCTCTCTATCCTCATTTATTCCTCTAAGAGAGGGAGATTTAAAAATCCAGACTTGTGAGCACAGTAGCAAGGCCTGGGTGTAGTCGGCTCAACTATCTTGGCCCAGCAACTCTTGGGAATTCTACTTCCAGGACATACACTCCTGGTTCCTCCATGCTGGATTCCCTGGTATCCAAACAAAACTCCTACATCCTGACTTGGTGGAGAAGACCCCCAAGAACTATGAAATCATCATCATCACCACCACCACCACCAAGGGATGTATCAAGCATATAACTGCCAGGTACTTACTACACTAAGCACCTTATGCATTTTCCTATTAAACCAAGAAAACCAAAGATGCAACAGAATCCACACAAGTCTCTCTGACTCCAATGCTACACCACTCACACTTCTGGAATAATCCTGGACAGATATGAGCAACAGACATACTAAAAATTCCAAATATCTAAACAGGATGTCCTAGAGAGGGCATCTACTAAGTGCTTAGCAGACTAACAGTCCTTTTAAAGAAAAAAATAATTACCTTCCTTGCTGGCACATTCTCCAGTGGGGGAGAATGCAAATCAGGTTCTTAAGCCTGAACAGTGGAGCTCAACTCTGCTCCCTCTCCCCTCCCCCTACCCGCCCCAATCCCAAACCCTTGGAACCCTCTCTAATTAACACTGCAGAAGTCCAGTACTTTGGGCAGAGCTCAACCATAAACTGATTAGTACCCAACTCTTGCCAAAGGCTTGTTTAAGACATCTGATAGCAGAGAGAGATGGCTTAATGTGCAGATTAACTGGCCATTCCGCTCGGCTGTCTACGTTTTAGCCATACACTAAATTGGATCAACACAAAGCAACATTTGTTTCCTGAAGCAATTGAAGTTCTCGAGAGAAACTCCTTTCCACACTTACAACTCATGCCCTCAGCTCTTAGCGAGTGTGGGTATAAGGAACAATCCATTTGAACCGTCACTGAAGGCCTTTGGTAAAAGAACAGTTACGAGCACTGTCCATTAAATTGTCCACTGCCCCCGAAATGAAAGAGCATGGGATAAATCCAGTGCCAAGAAAAAGTTTGCCTCTCTGAAAGAGTTTATGTTTTCTTTCCTCAGAGAACTAGATAATCACATCTCTTTTTGTCTCAATTTCAAAACTCAAATTCAGCGCTCAAGTGCAACAACTAATTCATCCCAACCTCCTCCCACAATCTATTCTTAGATTTTCTTCGTCCCTTTTGATCTTGATTATATTTTTATGTCTGCTGCTTTGTTCTTCATTTTGTAAACCAACGTATATCTCTTCCTCCTTCAAAGGCAGACACAAATCCTAGCAAAATTGGCCTCACCCTAAAAACAAAACAAAACAAAAATCACCCAGATTCCTCCATCCTGCTATAACTTTTCAGAACATGGATAATATCAGGCCCATGTAACACTACAGACCTGAGACCACCCCATCAGTTCTCACCCCCTTATCAACTGCAAAACAGTTCTGAAGATGAGAACAGGACCAGCTCATTTTTAAGACTAGATGCTGGCCATTTCAGGCAGCAAAACTGATTTTCAAAGCCAAAGATGTTTCCCACATACTGTGACAACACTTAGGGCAGACTCAACTCAGCCATCATTCTAAGATACCCCCAAAGAAGAAGCAAGAATTAGCCACTAGGGGAGAGTATGTTTTCCAAAGATAGTCAACAGCACATCCCACCTGATCATTAAGTGCATATGAAGTTCTCCATCGGTGCCTAGAAAAAGGAAGTGTTCAGTAAATGGTAATTGTAATTCTTAACATGTCAAGTTCAAAACTGGGTATGGTGTCATATATGCACAGGGATCCAGCTTTCTCAAGAATGCCCCTGTGATCGGTGGCGGCACATGCCTTTAATCCCAGCACGGGGAGGCAGAAGCAGAGGATCTCTGTGAGTCTGAAGCTAGCCTAGTCTACAGAATGAGTGATTTCCAGGACAACCATAGTGGTTACACAGAGAAACCTTGTCTCAAAAAACAAACAAACAAACAAACAAGCCTCTGTGACAACAGTCCATGTCTCAGCAGGTCATCTGTCTTCCATGCTTTTGTGTGTTTCACATCTTCATTATCCTATACAGGCTCCCAGTTGTATTTGATGGAACGCACAAACTACATTTCTAGAGACAACATTTAAGGTCAGCTGGCTGCCTCCGTTTCTGGGCAGAGGGTGCAGTTTGCAGGCTATGACTAAAGGCCTGTGGCTGTACTAGGGGCTGACTATGACCAAAGGCCTGTACTTGGGGCTGAGTCGCCTCCCGACAGGAGTCCAAGCAGCTGCAAAGTGTGAGTCACAGACAGGAAAGAGGGTGAAGATTTAAGAGGAAGAAAGAGAAGAACACAGTTGTTTTGCACAGTATTTACACTCTTAGTGAGTTCACATGTGCACAAGGGTCTCTGGATATTCTAAACCATGGCTACACCTGAATACAATTTTGGTTTTTATATGGGTTTTATATGGGTTTTATATTATCTGTACCCCGGGGCTGACTTTTTCTCCCACTCAGCCAATACTGATGGAGCGCCTATGTGGTGTATGGCACAGGAAGGTATGGGGCTCTACTGGAGTTCTACTCACTGCAGACAGGCACCGATGACTTTCACAATGGCGCTGGCACTTTTCAGGAAAACAGATGAAAGGATCCTTGGGATAATAAAGCAGTCTTTCCCACAGTTTAGCCTCTTTATTTCTCCTCAATCTCTGGAGAACACGTCACCAACAAATCCCTTCCAGTTACAAAGCTCATTCCCTCCTAGAGCTTGTCCCTGATGTCTGACAGTGCCTGTACTTCCCCCAGGGTATGTGGGATCAATACAGCAGGACTTCAAAGAAGCCCTCAATTGAAGTGCAGGCAGAATTTTCAAAAAAATCCTGGAGCTAGGATTCAGAAGGGGGGGGGGGGGAGAAAGCAGAGTGGGAATTTAACAGTACCACACAATGCACTAGGATCAGAGCTGTGAGACAGATTCAGCTCCAGAGATGAAAACTCTTCTCTCAGTGCTGACAACATCTGTTTTATTTTGAAGGTTGCTAAGGAGCGTCCTAGCTGGGCCAGCATTGTTCCAGCTCAGGACTTCACAGTGCGCCTTTCTCGGGCTTCTGACTGCAAGAATGAAAGCTCTCCAGATAAGCCTGCTCCTTTTGCTTTCCAGATATCAAAGTACCACTTTGCTCTCGGGCTGACTGACAACCCCACACCCCACTCACCCCTGTCTCAGCCCTGACTGGACTTTCCCTACTGCTTACTCTCCAAGGAGTCTTCCCCCTGCCCCTCCCATTCCCACTTGCCAAGTTCCCATCTGTGCCAGAGAGATTTATTGAGGACAGACAGGGAGCTCACCCTTGCGCCACAGAAGACCTCTATGGAAGATAGAGAAGAAGTACCTAGGAGCTGAAGAGATGCACATGCAGGAGGTTTAGCATCAGGCAGAAGGGGGAAGTCATTTCCTGGCTTTTAAGGATCTGTGCTGCCTCCTTAATCAAAGAAACATCAAATGCCTTTGTCAGGCCCAGAGCACAGTAGACACAAGAGCCGACCAAAGGCCTGTCCTCCGGGGAAATGATGCAGGTGGGGGGCCAGGGGAGCCAGCCACACCCCACAGGCCCATCCCTCCTAAGCTGAACAGCAATTACAAGCCTTGATGAACAACACGAAGGACTAGTACACACTCCTCCCAGCAGACAGACACACAGGAAAAAAAGAGACGAAGAAAAAGGACCCTACGGGAAATAGAGGCAAAGCCAACCGCGAATAAGATGAAGACACGGTGGGAATCACAGGGAAGGCAGCGATCACATAAAGACAAGGCAAACGCGTTGTGAGGCAAGGTGAAGACACACAGCAGGGATCACACGCATGACAACGTGAGGACAGCAGAGCGCGCACGGTGAAGTGGGGCTGGGGTGCGGGATACAGTGAGGGACCGTGGGAGCACCCACATGCACACAGAGGAGAGGAGAGGATGATAGCCAGGAGAACATGGATGAGACAGGGAGGGCAGCAGGCAGCACACACGGCAAGGTGAGCACTCTCCAGGGAGCACATACACAACGACGAGATAGAACACGACCACAATCACATACGTGGTAAGAAGGGCAGTCCGGGGATCACATCTTTGACAAATGGGGTGGGTGACACTATGAGGACAAATCAGTATCTTCCCACACGTTACGAGCAGCTATAAAACATGGGGTGAGGTGACACCCCTGCTCCTCCACCAAGGTCACAGCACCTGGGCTGAGAGCCTGAGGAGAGACAGGGAGGTGGATGGTCCCTACTGAAAATGGCATCTGCAGATAAAACCGCTGTGGGCTTCCAGGGCAGAAAACACTTTTGTTAGCTGGAGGAGGCGGCTCTTTCTTGTTGAAATGCCTAGGAGACTAAGTAAGGGGGAGAGAACGCAGTCTCTCCCCTCAACAAAGAGCCACTGCAAAGGGCCAGTCAGCTCAGCCTCACAGGCAGGTGACTCTCAGCAACAGAGGGACCCACATTGTCCTGCAAGGGCACTGGAATAAACATCACCTAAGCTTTTCCCTTGCTGGCCAGACTGTTTCAGCCCATCATGCTTCCTGGGAGCTGGGGAGCTCAAGGACATCCGTGTGATCCAAACATCTAAATGAGGTATATCACAGGCTTCCTGAGTGCACAGGAAGGACTAACTAGAGCTACTCACCTAGCCAGGTCACACTTGCACTGGATGGGGCAGACATGGCCTCTGCCACCTTGTGCCAACTCCTGTTATGTCCAGGAGCCCAGAGGGCCACAAGGCAAAGGTAGTAGCCAGAGTTTTCTTTGCTAGCATCTCGCACCAGCAGATGGTAGGAACGGGTATCCACATGGCTGAGAGCAACGTGTGGTGAACTGTGTACCAGGGAGTCACGGTCCAGGCGAGCCAGCATGTGGGAGGCAAGCAAGGAGGCATCAGGTGTCTTTTTGAAGTACCATGTCACCTCGGGTCGAACATCATCCACACGGTCTGTTGTGATATTGCAAGAAAGGTCCAGGTCCTTTCCTTCAGTCACAGACACAGTCCTGGGCACAGCCAATTGCAGAGCTAGAAGAGGAAAAACAAGTCCGTCAAGTGATGAAGTGGTTTGCCCTTTCTAGACCCTCCCTTCTACTTACCACCCTCTGGATCAACTCCTTTTAAGCTGATTTATAGTGGTAAAATTAGAAGGCTTTGTGCAGTTAAAAGTACTTGAGGAATAGTTAATGAATAAATTCATGACACACACTAAATTGGTTTTGGAAAAAAGACGCAACGAACACCAGCAAACACTTTATCACTTTCATGTATTTACTGTACATTAATTCTGAAAATAATAATATAAGGTGGATACTATTATGGTCATTTTATTGATATGGAGGCTGAAACACAGTAGCTCCATGGTAGAACCCTCCTCTAGCATCACTGGCTCCAGCACCCTGAGGGTGGGGTGGAAAATCCTGCACAGATGAGCCAGGAAAGTGAAACCAGACAATTCTCGTGAGTCAGTCCTTCACAATGTGATATATGTAGACTATCGTTCCATCAGACATATCCAGCTGAAAGTCAAGCATGAGACATACTCCAAAGCCCAAACCCAATGAGTTTTGCATCCTCCATGTTACCATCCTCTCATGACTGTGGACAATTAAAAGTAAGCTATAATTAGGGGAAGCCTTGAAGTATTGGGTGTCACAGGAAGGTCTTACTCAGCATTCCACTGCCAAAGATTTTAAATGGAAATATTTTACTCTATTCAGGGTGTTTTTAAGATGTCAAACATCTGTAATCAGAGTGGAAAAATTCAAGTTACAATGATATTCTGGGAACCATCACTAAATGATAGACAGCCAATTTCTCCCAGTGGAGTCAAGTGAGACACAGTCCGCACCTTCTAGCAGAACCCATTCAGCACCCACTGCTGTTCCCAGGAAGCTCAGGGACAAAGGCTTGTGCCCAGTTCAGAAAACACCAAACCCAAAAGCCTATGCCCTCCAGCAGATACAGCTTCCACATGAATACTTCCAAATCTTGACAATGTTTCAAACAAGGATTTCAAGCCAAGTTCAACATCCATCCCAACACATGACAGAAAGTGAGGTAGAAAAGAGTTTGGAAGTCTGGTTTCTCCTTCTCTTTCTCCTCTTTATAGATCAAGAAATGCATTCCTTAGGGTCCAGAAATATTGGCAGAGATGTCTTTTCAGCTGTGTAATCTACTTAGCCATTTTTTTTTTTTCTTAGTAAAAGTGGCTAAGTATCTGTGTTATCAGTAACCATGAGCCCCAGTATTCCAGATTTAAGGGTTTGGCAATGGGAGATGAAACAGGGCTGGCTGGGGATGGGGGACAGGAAGGGGACGTGGGGGGATGGGGGTTCTAAGCATTCAGAATGCAAAAAGGAGATCTGGGAAAAGCCTGTGGCATTTGAGGTTTTTCTCTTGTAGAATATTGCTAAATCTTCAAGTTACAAACAAAGATTTATATCACCAGCCACTCTAACCATAGGGAGGACCTACCTACCACATGGGTGACATAGCTATCAAAGTGGCTCTGTGCCATTCACAATGCCACTGTGATCATAGAACATGAGCAGGTACCTGTGACTGGTGAACAGGTTGATAATAAGCAAAACACTGTCCCTCAGCTGGGTATGCAATCCCAGCACTTGGGAGGCAGACGCAGGCAGATCTCTGTAAGTTCAAGATAAGCCTGTAAGTTTCAGACCAGTAAGACCCAGTCTAAAAACATAAATAATTAGACAAAGAGGGCTGAGGATGGAGAGAGAGGAAGGAGGAGAGGGAAGGGGGGATCATATGCAAGCGAGCTCACAGGCCCCAAGCACAGGGATTCTTAACTTACAGTGCACAGAGAACTTAGGGAGTCTGTGCATGTGGATGGAAAATTCATCCCTATTTTTATTTTCATTAGCCTTCGCTGATATATTACAAACCTCCCTTTGTGAAAGTAAGCAACAAGGCTGTATAGTATGGCCTATATCTGGGGCTTGGCCCTCAACAGAAGCAACAGATCTTCATAGTCACTTTACAGGAGTTGTAGACATCTGAAACATCACTTACATTCACGGCTCCCTAGAAATTGTGATGGTTGTTAGGCCCGCCAATATAGCTTATTATTCACGTGTTAATAATGAAGTATATTTTAGTATAAAACAGATGTGTCTTAAAGATATTTTGATAACTACTCCAGTATAACTCCGTGCCACCTTATATATTATGTTTCATGAAGTAAGAGAGTTACAGGCTTCAAAAGACAAAGAAACCCATCACACATGAAAAGGTCACAAGGTCAAGTGTGCTGGTGCAAGCCCATGATCCTAGCTATTCTGAATGCTGAGGCTTGAAAAGCACACGTTCAGGGCCAGCTGGAGTCACTTAGCGAGATCCTATCCCAAAATAAAAAGGGCAACCAACATAGCTAAGCAATAGGTGCTTGCCTAGCAAGTGGGAGGCCCTGGGTTCAACACCAGAATGGATGGTGAAGCCTCAGCCTCAGGATGGAGCTGCTATGACCGAGTCTTGAATCCCAATCGTGTAACTAGATGCTATGGGTTTGTGGTATGTTTGAAACATGCCCCTTCTTTCTGATTGAAATTCCTCCATTAAACGGTGAATTTGCTGCCAAGCTAAACTCTTAGCCTGCCTGCCTGCCTCATTAAAGCAGTTGCTTTGTGCACACTGAGGTTTCCTACAGCAGATCCCAGACAATCACTTTGGCTACAGAAGATGAACTTAGTCCACCCAAGAAGTCATTTCTGCAGCCAAGGGAGCCTAGGCCCACAGTAATGATCATGCACCCACGTTCAGGTGCAGGAAATGCTGCCCAGAACCATGCAAGTTGCAAAAACAATCACTGGTTATAGCTTCCCACTTTCCTTCCCAGGGAACAGAACAAGCCATACACTCACATTCCTGAGCAGGGAATGAATCCAGCCAAGGTCTCCAAGGAGGCAGAAGAGACCGTTATCTGAAGATGTTAGGCTCCTAGACAACCAGGCATACCCAGCTATCCCTGGCAGTGACACTGACCTGCAATGGTTTCTTTGTACTCTGTCTTTACTGAGGCTTCAGGCTCCAGTAACCTGGGATTGAGAATGCAGTAGTTCTGAGCCTAGGGCCCAGAACAGTGTTGAAACCAGCAGGACCCCTACCATTGCTTGTCAAAGAGTAAGTCAATAATGGTTTTCTCTCATTTTTCTTCTGTTCTTGTAGACTTCTTAGTGTGCCCTTTCTATCTTGTTTCTGTAGCTGGGAATCCTAAAAGGGGGTATATTTGCAAATTATAGGACAAAGATTGATATGGACCATGCTGGGCTTTCTGGAGCATGTATGGCATATTAAGTAAGAAGAAGCCTGATCCATGGGGAGTGTGTCATCTGATGAGGGTGGAAGGCAGGTCCAGGAGTGCACATTAGCAAGAGGCTTGGAGTCAGCTGCACACACGCGCGTGTGTATACACACACACACACACACACACACACCCAAGGACTCAATAGTAAACAAGAAAGCTAAAGCAGCTGGTGTGAGGGAATCCAGTCACACCCCCAGGGAACATCAGGTGGGCCCTGACAGGACATCATTCTTAACCTATGAGTCAGACCTATACAAGATAAGCAACAGCAGACAGCAGAAAGGCAAAACTCTAGCACTATCACATAGCTCAAAGCAGAGGTGCCCTTCCCCAAGCTACCAACACCACTCTGCTCCCCATAAGCAACAAGAGGAAGCAGGTCAGTCTCTTTCTGGTCTAGTCCTATACATGGTCAGTGGTTCCAATCAGGGAGACACATTTTCAAAACCTCACCTGTCGGCTGGATCACCACGGTGGCCACTTCCACGGCCTTTTCTTGGATTTCTTGCCAGCTGCCTTGCTCTGTGATCCACTCGCTGACCACACACCTGTAGGAACCCTGGTCCGCAGAGAGTGCCCGGGCCACGGAGAGGCGGTAGGCATCGCTGCCCACGGTGTCCAGGCGTACATCCCCACTATGGTAGCGCTGCTCATAGCCAGGGCCTGGGTGAAACCTGCCCTCGTGGCTTAGGGCCAGGATGCTGCGGTGCACTGGACCACGGTGTAGTTCCCACCGAAGTGCCAGGTGAGTATGCAATGGTGACATGGTAGATGCAATACATCGCAGCTCAAAGGGCTCCCCCTCACGCAGGTTCAGGCCTGGAGGAGGCCGGGAGCTGGGGCCCACCACCAGGGCATCTGCCAGCACTGTGAAGGACAGAAGGAAGAGATCAGTCAGTGGTCACCATTGGCCCTACTCCGTAACTAAAGAATAGGCTACTTTCCATGACTCTGGCCTTAAGTCATGGCAGCTGGCTACCCAAGAAGGATTCCTCATTCCATTTCTGGTTCTACAGCCTAGATAGGCAAGTTGTCTATTCTGATCCACTCACGATCTCAACTGACTTTCTGACTTGAACAAACAAACAAAAAAAATGAGACAATAATAAAACTCCATCCAGCTAAAGGGTCCATGAGTGCGTCTGTCACCATGATGCAGGCTTACTTTGTTCTCTGTGCCTCAATTTCCTAGAAAAGAAGATGATGGCTGTACTCACTTCACAGAGCCAACAAGAACCCAATGAGTGCCAGGACAGGATGAAATAAGCTGGCCTGATGTCTAAGCAATCCTTGGTTAGGACATGGGTGGGGCTGGAGGAGGGAGCCTGTAATCTAGAGACAATGGAGCTGCCAAGACTCAAGATCTCCAGGGAGAGGTGATAGCAGGAGGTGCCTGTGGCTCACATCCTGGATAGGGTATATTCACAGGACAGGAAGGAGCCAAGAAACTCTGAAGGTTCTGCTGCTAATTCTTAGCACCAATGGGAAGAGGCCACTGATACAGTCTAGAAAAGAGGGTGGGTCTAGGGGACTTGATAGTGACAGATGCTGGTGATCTGGTATCTACCAAGGATTTGGAAAACCTTCGAAGCCCACCAGGAGCTACATATGTGGCTCTTCAAGCATCCCAATTACTCCAAATACCAGGAACATTACTCCTTTAGAAGAACACTTATCATAGGCCCACCTCTTCTATGAAGCTACTATAGTGGCCTTCCAGTCCACACAGCAATCTGTGAATGTGGCTGGTATGGCTTCATTCTCAAAGCCAGTTCCTCAGAGGCAGCTTCAAGACCCATGAAGCTGAAGGCCAGACAGATGCGGGACCACATCTAGCTCCTGCTAGAGACTTTACCTGGGCAGCCAGCCAGCCTCTCTCACACTATCCTTCTGCTCTCTTGAGCCAAGAAAAGCCTCCCTTTGCGTCTCTTGCCTTCACAGTGAAGAAACAGGCAGATACTAGGGAGGTATGAGGGCTCTGTCACCCTCCACTTCTCAAAACAAATCACAAGATGTATCTGACCTGAGGGAAGGTGATCTGTTGTACTACTTAACTCAGTGCAAATGTCTTTTGAGAAATCTTAAAAGGAAAAAAAAAAAAAATGTCAGAACCTTCCCTCCCCTCCCCCCCACACCATTCTAGAAGCCAGATCTAGGGCCTTGCAGATCTAGGCAATTACTCTACCACCGAACTTCCAAGTTTCCTATGCCCCAACCCCTAACCCCCAGATGAAGTCTTACTACATAGCTCAAGCTGTCTTTGAGCTCACTATATAGTTTGCCCAGACTAGCCTCAAACTTCCAATCCTCCTGCCTCAGCTTCCCAAGTGCTAGGTTTCAGGTGTGTGCCACCATAGCCATAAAAAGGTATGTACACACCATTAAAAAGGTGTGTACCTTTTATGGGAAGATGGAAGAGGTAAATTTGATGGCTTATTGCTTTTGTTCCTACTTGACAGGCATGGCTGACATTTCATCCCCTCGTGATTTGGTAAAGGAGCAGCAACAGCTGAGCAATATCGGTATCCACGACAAAGGGTGGACACCTGGATTAGCCTACTCCTTTTCTATCATCATTTCCTACTTTCCAGGTAATTCTATACACTCCTGCCTGGATACAAATATTTTCAGAAACAAGGCAGGGCACAAATAAATGTACAATTAATAACAATAATAATGTTTCTGTTTTGTTAGCCTCAAATTAAAATAGCTTCTTCTTGCTCATTCACTAATGAGCTATGTCATTTTAAGCAAGTAATTAACCTACGCACTTCCATCTCATGCGTAAATTAGGGAAATAGCCTGTCCTATCTTCTTCATTGGATTCAGATAATTGAACGTGTGAGCAAACCCAACAGCATTTAGAAGGCAAGGAAATCCCAAACTCAAGATATTCCAGATGACAATGGTGTCAACTTTGCACAGCTAGGTTCATGAAATAGCGGTAACTGTGTGGTTTTCTCATCTGTAAACAGCAAGTACAACTTCTGACACAAACAGGTATTAGCTCACAAATGCCCCAGAGAAAATGACATGAACTATGAAGTACCTATTTCTCCCATAAAGCCGAACCTCATAGTCATGCCTTGCAGCTTGCCTTTAAGCTGAATACTTGCTATGACACAGTTGGAGAGGCCTGGCATGGGTTAGCTCTCCTGTCCCCACGCCTTTTAAGGCAGGCTCTGTTGGACAGAGGGAGCTGAGGATGGGCTGAGCCAGGCACCCTTTAGCAGACAAATAGCAGAGCCAGGAGCTGACTGCAAAGCAAGCTGGTCCCAGAGTGGGACTCTCACAGGTGACTACACCATGGTACCTACAATTCACTGGCCATCTGATACAGCAGAATTACACTGGGAAAAGGATGCGGGAGCCCCAGGGGTCACCTGGTCCACCCTCTGCCTGTCATCGGGTAAGACAGCGTCACTGTGACGGACAGGGGCACTGAGTCTCTTTGTAACAGCAGAATGACAGAGGAAGGTGTGGCCCCATATAAGAGCTGTACCTTTAACCTGCACTGTATCCTCATAGTTGCCCTGGACAGTGGCATCTGTGCTCGGCGTTGAGCACTTGTAGTGGCCTTGGTCTGAGGGCTGGACATTCTTTATGTGTAGCTCCACAGCATCATTGGCGGTTCTCCTCAACAGGATGTCGCCCCGCTGCAACCGCTCCCGGTACAGCTGTGCTGGGAAGCCCACTTCCCAGGTGCTGGCGAGCTCCACAAAGCTGCTCCCCGAAGATGAGAAGCTCCAGTCAAAGTTCTGCTCGATGGGGCCATCATAGTCGCTGACATTGCAGGGGATCACCAGCTCGGTGCCCACCACCCGGACCAGGCTGCCTGCAGGGACTCTCACCACACGCCCGCGACAGACAGCTGTAACGACAGGAAATGAAAGGTGGACCTTTAACCAGGGAAGGCTTTCTTGATATGACAGTGACATCTAAAGGATGCTTCGGCTCAGGGGCCCAAGGGCAGATTGTAGGGCAGATCTCTAAGAAAATGGACCTCCCTCCCCCCATAGAAGAGGATTAAGCCATTCCTGAAATTATGGGTTGGAAGTAGCACTTTGAAATGAGTGCCTTCCACACAACCAGTTTCCCAGGGCTGACAGGCAGACTAAATATGAAAAGTGGGCTAACCATGGCCTCAAATAAGCTTTATCTCTTCCGTTATCATTTAACATACCATTATCATGCAGTGAGATATGGAAAGGTCCTATGATCAGTACATATTTACATTCCTGCCTATCCCACTTCAACCAACATCCCTAGAGATCATGCCCAAGACCTAATCTATAATGATGGATGCCAATTCTCAAATCCTCGAGCAGCCTGCTGATAAAATGATTTAACTCCTGTTATCTGACATTGGTTATAAATTATTTTTAAAATATGACAATTCCACCAAGTATTAATTTTCTATTTTCTGGCTCATTTCCTTCCCTCTACTCTTCAGTAGGCTGATGAAGAAACTCAGAGGGAGGGAGGCTGCCTGGTGTTGTCAGGAATGTGGCAGCTTATGGTGAGAAAGCAACACAGTGGACAGAGCCAACAGTTGGCTGGCATTACCTGCCAGGAGAGCCTGTGGCGCACAGACCTCTGGGGCAGGGCCCTCAGCAACAGGCACCCTCCTATTCCTTCAGAAGTTCTCACTACAATGAACTTCATTTTAGCACAATTCTATTGTGTTTACGACCTGGATTTTGCATTTCCATTTAGTCCAAATGACTAACTGTACCTCTCTTGATATTCAGCAAACAGGTACAGCAATGAGTCAGGAGATACCATGAGCTCTGAATCACAGGCATCAGAATTAAATCTCTCTTAGCTTGGTATCCTTGATTATAAAATAAGATGGTATCAATGAGTTAATAAAACAAAATGTTCAGCTGAAGAGTGAGTCTTCTATGTACTATGGGTTCAATATGATGGGACTTTCTATTGTCACTATTGTATTTCTATCATCTGTTATGAGTTGATCTGTGTGCCTCACACAAAATTCATACGCTGAATTCTGGAATCAAATATGTCAGAACACAGCCTTAATTGGCAATAGGGTCACAGAAGATGTCATCAGGCAAGCTGTGATGCAGTCACAGGGCACAGGGTAGGCCTCTGAGCCAATAAGACTGGCGTCCTTAAAAGGGAGCTAATTTGGACATACAGGGAGAACACTGCACTGCGATGAAGGGAGGAGAGATCAAGGTGATGCATCCAAGAACTAAGAACAGCAGGCTGGCAGCCAGCCAGCACAGGCTCAGGAAACACAAGCCCAGTCCTTCCTCTCAGCCCTCAGAGGGCACAGACTCTGGCCACGCTGCTTTGACCTCTAGCTTGTAGGGAAAAGGGTCTGTAGTTTAAGTACCTGGTCTGCGGCATCATTCCCAGGAACCCAGCATACCACGGCTGCTTGTTTATTGCTGGCGTAATTCATGTTTTTCAAACTCTGTGGCCGCCTATTAGTGGATTCCAAAATGAATTTATAGTGGTTATGTGTGCTTTTAAAAATGGAATTTTAAATGAACAGAAGCGATTAGAGTGCAATGCACTTGGTAAGGGATAAATATTGCTACATACAGCACTTTGTTAGGTAAACGAAGGCATGCACAAATCAGACTATGATGAAAACGTAACATAAATTTGGGTTAGGGTTGGAAAAAAAGTTGAGGGCCAGTTTTTAAAACCTCTTGTTTTCTCTAACATCATTTCCTTTGGGAAAGGAAAAAGGCAAGTGTGTAAGAGACATATTGACAGAGACAGTGTGAGACACTGTTCAAGTAAGGGACCTTGGTAGTTTGAATGTAATTAGCTTCCATAATCTCAGAGAAAATGGCAATATTAGGAGGTGTGGCTTTGTTGGAGGGATATGGCCTTGTTGAAGGGGCGGGCTTTGAGGTTTCCTATGCTCACGATACCACCAAGTGTCTCAGTCGACTTCCTGTTGCCTGCAAGACGTAGCTCTCTCAGCTCTAGCACCACGTTTGCCTGCTTGCCACCATGCTCCCATTATGATGATAAGGGACTGAACCTCTGAACTGCAAGTGAGCCACCCCAATTAGATGTTTTCTTTATAAGAGTTACCATGGTCATATGTCTCTTCACAGCCATGAAAACCCTAGCTAAGACAGGGACCAATGGTCTTCCTGTCATAGCTGGGCTAGGGGCAGGCCCAAAACAACTTCCCAACCTAAGAAAGGCTGCTGAACCCCAAATCACATCACTGTCATTAAAATCCAAAAAGTAGGGCTTGGGGTGGCATCAGCTGAGCACTAGAGTACCGGCCTTGCATGTATGAGGGCCAGGGCCCCACTCTTAGCATTGAAAAGAAAGTCAAATAAATAAGTAAAATTAAATAAAGCTATTTTATGCCTATAATACCAGCTACTCAAGAAGTTAAGAATCACTTAGGTCTGGGAGTTGGCAGCTCATTGATATTGCAAGACCCCGGCTCAAAAACAGAACCTGAAAGCTATGGTTGTATTCCCAAAGGTAGTTTGGTTTTGTTGAAGTATAAGCATTAGGGAGAAGGATGTTAGGAGATGAAGCTGGAGTGGTAGGCTCAGGCCAGGCCATGAAGAATCCTGTGTGTCTTCCATTCAACACATACTTATCAGATAGCTTGTGCACCTTTCTGGAAATGCCACCATGCCCTGTGGTACCCAGGGTCTTCATTGCCTCCTCCAGCCGGCATGCCTTCCCAGAACTCCTCTTGCCATGAGGAGGCTTCGATCTCGCCATCTCCTCAGTGGGGCATCCCCCTTCCCCAGAATCACTCTCACATTCCTTCCTCAATCTGGACTATAAAACACAATCTGCACAAGTCCCTGGATGGAAGCTATGTCACGGTGCCCCTGGGAAAGGAAACAGTCGAAGCAGACACCCTGATAGAGCACATTTTAATCTGAAAACCTATAAACCTGAGCAATGTCATGCATGCAAGAACCAGGGTGTCCTCTCCTCCAAGCATACGGAGACACACGATTTTGGTAGCAGAATTTCAACTTGCCAGCAACAATCTGGTATTTAGTACAGATTTCCCTTAATATTGTTAAATAGCGACAAATGATACTTAAAAATAAATATAACTTGTAAAAGAGAAAGCATATGGCTTTTCTCAAATCAGGAAGACTATCTACAGAGCCACACTTGCCAATTTTTGTCACAACCTTTGGTAACAGCTGATAACTCAGGGAAAGAGGGAAAGACAAGTTTCTTCTGAGTTTCCAAGTGTTTCAAATTAAGAGTCCTAAACATGTCTGATCCTAAACATGTCTGATCCTAAACTATGTTGCCAGGCAGTGGCAGCACACTCTTTTAATCCCAGCACTCAGAAAGCAGAGGCTGGTGATCTCTGAGGCTGAGGCCAACCTGGCCACCTAGCTCCATCTCCAGAAGGCATGTAAAGGTGGGAGGAGAAATCACTGTACAAGTGATTCCTCTGACCTCTATCTGCACGCTGAGGCGCATGTGCCCCCACACAGGAGTAATCAATAAGATGTTTTAAAAATATGTTTCCCCGGGGTCAGTAAAAGGGACCTTTGTATGAAAGGCGTTTTAAGTTTTGTTTGGTTTGTTTTATAGTCCAGGCTGGCCTCCCCCTCAATGTCCTCAGTCTCTTGAATTCTGGAAGTAAGCACTTGTGTTACCAAGCCTACTGGAAACCGTTTCTTTATTAACTTTAAAAATGCTACAGGGAATTGATGAGTTGATAGAGTGCTTATTTAACAGGCTCGAAGTTCTGGATTCAATTCCCAGCACTGAACAAACTGAGCCTCGAGGCAGAGGATCAGAAGTTCAAGGCCATTCTCAGCTACATAGCCAAGTTAGCTAGCCTAGACTAGAGAAGAAAGTCTAGACTACAGAACATAGCCTAGACTACAGAAGAGCTTGTCTCAAAGAAAGAACTATCCAGAATATTGTCATATTGCATTACAAAAATCCACCTGATAAAAACCCATTAAAATTTCAGTTAAAAAATAACACCCAAACAGAATGACAATAAAACAAACAAAAAAAATTGTAGTATCATATTCCAGAAATCTCCAAGTACATAGATGCCTTTGGCCTTTTGGGCCACTTATAATAGTTTCAGCCCATTTTAAATCCTCCAGAAATAAGGGCACTTTATTGGAGGGTGTAAAGAAGGCTCCTACACTAAATGAGTTTCAATTCCCATGGCTAAGAGCCCTTGCAGTTGCTGTGACAATCTGCTCAGCTTAGACACCCAAGGTAAGCCACACAACTCTCAGCCTCTGCACCCATTGCCACTGGAGTCTTGTGGACCAGGGTCCAAGAAAGGAATTCTGGGTGCTTGTGAGAAAACTCCAAGAAAACAAGGCAAGAGTCTTGTGATCTCAGTTTCTTCATAACATGGAATTGTTCTTGGAATGTGTTTTCATGCTCAATCATGGCAGCCAGGGGTGAGTTTACCTCAGATTACTCATTATTGCTTGCTATTAATTTTATGTCTCTATGAAAAAGCATGTTTGTCACGTGTGGCCTATCCTTGTGATTGTACACTTCATTCATGTGACCCTTGGTTTGTTTGGTTTTTTGGGGTTTTGTTTGTTTGGTTGGTTGGTTGGCTTTGGAGGCTGTCCTGGAACTAGCTCCTGTAGACCAGATTGGTTTTAACACAGAGATCCGCCTGCCTCTGCCTCCGGAGGGCTGGGATTAAAGGCGTGCGCCGCCGCCGCCACCAGAGGCGTGCGCCGCCGCCACCAGAGGCGTGCGCCGCCGCCACCAGGCATTCATGTGATTCTTACCCCTCAGAACATAAATTGTCTAATGCTCTGAAAAAAGTTAGCTACTGTATGAGCTGTAAGTCTGCCTTATTTTTAGGCTCCTTTCTCCCAGGTCCCACTGCCAATTAGA